CTTTCGCAATATCGTTTCCTGCAACTTTTGTTTTCTCGAAGGCGTGTTGCGTGAGACGTGACAAAGGTCTCGCGCGTTGTCGATCTTCCCCTCCTCACCCTTTTTTTCTCACTTTTTTTTAGATTTTTCTTTTTTCTTGGACATCTTTTTTTCGTTTTCTTTAATTTTTACTTCTTTAGTTTAGTTTTTATTCTCGCGTGTGTACGTACGTACATGTGTTATGTAGACGCAAACGAGACGCGCGTGAATAAATCGTGCAATAGAAAAATTGACGAGTGTGCGTTATTATTATTATTTTTTTTTTTTATTTACTTTACTTTACTTTACTTTACTTTATTTTATTTTAATTTTACTTTTTGTCGTTCGTATTTCCCCTCCGAAAGTTTCCCCTATTCCGATTGTGTTTCTATCTACTGTTATTATTGGTCGCCGATTTCGATCAATTGCCCATTCAAATTCCCCCTATAATTCCCCCAAATTTCGATCGTTTCCCTTCACCGACAATTCTACTTTACCTTCCGCTTGAATAATTCCCAAACCACGATCGCGATCGCTCGACTACGTTCGTTCATTCGTTCGTCTGTTACTCGTCCAATTTCGTCGGATCGATCGATCGATTTGATTTAGAGACACGACACACATTGTGTCGAGGAAATCGGAAAAAAGAGCTGTATAGAAAGATTTCAGATTGTACGAGCAAAATCAAACACTGATTCCCCGTGTGCAGGAACACAGATGCGCAGGGGGTTAAACACTTTCGCTTTCTTAATTACTCGATTAAATTCATTATACATGCATGTAACGTGTGTGTATGTATGTGTGTGCACGAGTATGGTATTTCTTTACTCTGTGTGTGTGTGTGTGTTCTTTTTTTTTTTTTAGTTTTGTTTCGCGTACATTCTTACGTACACATGCAACACTGGCGTCTACGAATTTTCGTTTTGCTTTTTCTTTCTTCTTTTTTTTCTTTTTACGTTTTTCTTCTTCTTCGTAAATTTCACTCGCAATCTCCTTTTTTTTTCTTGGTTCCTTCGTTCTTCTTTTCTGTTTTCTTTTTTATTTGGTATTATAATATTTCGTTATATCTGCGTTCGGTCTCGCGTTTCGCGAAACGTCGATCGAGATTCGTCGTGCGAGATCGGAAGAAGAAATTACCGCTGGAAATGTCATTTGGATCGAGAAGTGAGAAACGACGGCGGTGGAAAGATAGAAAGAGACACGTTAGCCAATGATGAGTAAGAAAAATATCGTATATCGACTCTCTGTGGGATTGATTCTGTAATTGTCGAAGCAATGCGAATCGGCGATGAACGTTCTCGTTATCTTTGTATCTTTATATCTTTAATGTATACATACGTGCATATATATTTATTTATTTATATATTTTATTATTTCGTTCTTTCTCCGTTTCATTATCGATATATTATTTATACTTAAATGGAAAAGGGCTTCACTTTCTTTCAATTACGATCGATGGACGTATCGAGATTTCCAAATAAATTCTCGTTCTCTCTATTTTTTATTTCTCTCTCTCTCTCTCTCTCTCTCTATTTCGTTTCATTTATTTAGATTTCGAAAAGACGAGCTCTCCGTTTTTTTCAAACGTTGCCCCAAGGCGTGTCATGGCCGTTTAGCATTGCTTCGAGTTTCGACGGTCTCGACGATAGCATTTTGTTTCTTTTTTTTT